TAGCTACACTTGAACCATTGAGTGTCACACTTCTCTTGTACTTCAGATCCTTAAATGTAACGAGGTAAAATAATTAGTTAATCTTACTGTAATTGGAAGTTAATGTGATTGAGTCCAACATTCGTAATCGTTAATTACGGATAATAACGAATAAAGGAAAAGAATTCAACGGAAATTTAGTGAACTTTCTAAATTGGGAAGTTTTTCGATTTGCCGGGTCATAAATTAGGGTTTCCAATTTCGAAAATTGGAAAATTGCAAAGTGGTACTCGTATCGATGACAATATTGTGCTTGTCACTAAAATATAATTGTTATATTTTTGCGAGCATCCGTTTATTAGAATCGAGCTGAGAAAGAGAGTTGGCTTAAGTTGTTGGACTTGGTCCAACTTAAGCCCTATATAAATAGTGTGTTAGTGGCTCATTAACACAATACCTAACCCTAGTCTCTCCTCTTCCATCAACCGCTCCACCCTGCAGCCGAAACCCTTCTTCCACCACCTGCCACCGCACCGCCGCATTGGCATCTTCTTTTCCCCTCGTTCTTCTTCGTTGTAACTAGCCTGTTATGTATCTAGTGTTGCGTGGATAGTGGATTGAATATACGGGGTGAAACCTAAGAGGAGGAGGAGTCTTCTGTCACCATTGGCGCCACCAGGGTATTCTCCACCGCCACAAGCCGGTGCTGGGAGAAGGTAATCCTGAAAATCTGTTCTCAGGTTTTTTGTGCAGTCTAGCAAGCAAATTCACCATAAATCAAGTGATGATTTAGAAAAAGCTTTGCAACTCATGGAGATACAATACCACATAGGGAACTGTCCACCAAATCAATATTCATGGAGATATTGAAATCGTAGCAGACCTGAAATTTCAAATTAGGAAACAGTTCCAACATATGCGTCGCTGCACCACCGTCGCCGGTCGGATCTGTAGGAGTGGGAAGAGTAGCTAACCATCTTCTCGAGTCTTTGTTCGATTTACACTCTAGAGTAAAAAATCGTTTTCCCTAATTAATTATTTTTTATTAATTGAGATTAATGTATGTTAATTGATTATTGTCACATGAATCTATATGTTTGATTATGTGTTTATGTGAATCGTTCGCTGATCATGTTCATTATTTAAATTTATTGATGCAAGCATGCTACTTGATTTATTTAATGTAATTTAAAAAAAATATAAACGAGTATGTTTGTTGGTGATTGCAAGAAATCATATACGCAATTAATTGAAATTATGTGCACGTGTTTATTTATACAAATTAGTTTGTATAAATTAAATAAAAAAAATATTTTCCACTGCGTACACGTGCACGATTCCCAATACTAGATGGGCCACGTTGATGGAAGAGCCATCTTTAGAGCAGCCACTATTTGCAAGTGGCCTATAACCACATCAAAAGTCGCGCATACCGTAGCATGAACCTCTAAGAGGCAAACACCTCAACAGGATTATAAGCCCTAGCCACACACTTAATGGGGCCCAGGAGCAGGAATACATAACGTCATTCTTTGCCGAAAGAGAGGAAATGTCTATAGGCAGACGAAAAGATTATCATAGCTTTAATGAAAGATACAAAGTCCTACGAGCCTGTTATATAAGACTGCATACTTCATTAAATTGAAACATTTTTCGAGAAAGTGTGCACGACAACATACCAAGCAGGTAAACCCACGCGCCTGGAGCAATGAGTCGCGTACTTTGCTCACCATGCGCATTATCCAGCCAACAAGCTGGGGGAGTAATTACTCCAGAGCTCTCAGACAAACTTAGTTTTCCCAAACGGTGCCTTCTTCACCTGTCTAAGCGAACTGGGGAAATTTTTTTCATAACATAATTTGCTAAAAAAGACTTCATAATAGAATTCGCTCCAAGAAACTGTGTTTATGAGCGATTGGGGGAGGGGGGGGGGGTTAGTTGATACAATACTTGATACGGACTCATGTGCCTTAAACGGGCCGTCTAGGTACAAGTCACTGACAAAAACGCTAAGGCCCAAGCCCACAACAAGACAGGCCACCGCCATGCCTCCTACGTCCAGAGCAGGCGGCTGGTGGCTTGGTGGCTGATAAGACCGCATGTGGGGCTACGACAAAGCGGAAAGCCTGCACTAACGTGACATGAATGTTCATGTCCATCCTAGGAAGAGCGAGCTCATCCTTAAACACTAACACTGCTCGTTGACCTTAAATCAAGCTCGCCCCTATAGGAAAACAATTCAGAGGAGTCATGTCAACCCCCATGTATGACATGGGTAAAGGGAATGGAGGGTCCCATTATCTTACCAACTGGACAGGTATAAATATCAACCAACTGGCGTTGAAACACAAGTTACATTTCTTAATACAATTTAAACTATATGTTTTGAACTCTCTTTGATTCCGACTAATTTAATTGTCAGAGTGCTAACGCCAGGAAACCACCCCCTGCCACTCAATTTTTGTAGGTCACATGGACTTGCTTTGAGCTTGCACGGAGTTTCCTTATATCCACTTTATTATTCTCTCATAGTGGCCATTTAGGTCACGTCAATACCACATACTCAAAAGCCACAAAATCCTAACCACAAAGTCACAAATAAAACAAACCCAAATTCTCATTTTGTTCATCCTCCAAAAACCACAAAAACCGCTCTCATTCATCTTCCACAAATCCGCAAAACCTCAACCTTCGAAAGTCTCAAAGAGAGAAAGTATGGATTTAATTAAAATTAAAATAGAAGATTCTACGGTCGAAGAACCGAAGGAGGTATGCATTTATGTGTTTTTGTAGCTAATTTACCATTTTTTTTCGTTTTTGAAAGTTTTTCCGCGGATACTAAAATCGACATTTGCGAGCCCATTTTACTGCCCAAAAATGACAGTAACGTGTTGAGCATTATGCAAGGAAATCGACATCCTCACATTGTCGATTTTTTTGTTTCATAATCGACACCTTGATGTCAATCGTGTGCAACAAAATCGACATGGTTTTGTTGTCGATCTTATGTGCATAGTTTCGACCCCTTTGTGTCGACATTTGACATTATTTTCGACACTGAGATGTCAAATAGTGTATGTCACAAATTTAATTTTTTCCCCCGTTTCTTGCAGATTGAAAAAAATGTGGAATTAGTAATGGATTACTCAAGTAAATTTTGTAATCACATTATATTTGCAACAAGAGATAAATTATTGAGTTGAATAAAAGAAGTGGCCTAATAGGCGTCTCAGAATGGTCATTACTAGGAATATGTAGCTCGTGGTCGTTCGCGATCAACTGAGGCAACCGTGCACAATCAAAGTCTGAATCGTCCTCTATACCAATCCATGTACTCATCTACAGTATCTGACTCACTAGGTACTGCTAAAATAGGCCTCGCTTGGGGTACAGGGACATGATCCACCCATCTCTCTAATAATATCATAAGAAGTGTCTCAAAATCTCTGTACGATGGGCCTCGCCTTGAAAAAGGCAAGAACTGCATAGCGGTTGTCATATATGGTCGATCCGGTATATACTGGTCCCTATCGAACTGCCTCAGAACCCTATCTGGATGGTATGTCTGCAAGTACTCCATTGACCCGAGCATCCCACTAAATAACCTCTCCATGGGCATGGGGGAATTGGTCATGAAGACTCGAATACGGGTCTTAAATAACTTGTGAGAAACAACAAATCAATAATCACAATACAAAAGTTCAATTTTTTATTAAACATTTCATTATTATTATTTCATCATGTGATGTCAAATTGTCTTTACATTCAAGCAAATCCCAAGCTCGATCAGTCCTGGCCTCACAGCCGGCATAAAAAATGGAAAATGCTCGTATATCCAAGGTTGGAGTAGCGCCAAACAAGTACAAGAAATCTGCCTCGTAGCCACCTCAGATGCATCCGTCAATGAGCGTTATAAAAGACAAAACATAGTAGTTCCCCAAGTGTAAGTACCAACGCTTTCCAAATCCTAAAACAATCACAGCCAACGAATAAAAATTTTGGTGCCCGTCTTGTCAGCAAATTAAAGATCCTACATCCCAATAGATAAATGATATAAACCCTCTCGTAGCAGCTCTACGTCTGTCCTCATTGTCAGACGATGTCATGGAACGAAATTGATCATGCAACCACTCTAACCAAACCGTCTATTCTTTTGTCTTTGGATGAACATCGAGCATGCAAAGAACAAACCATTGTGTCAGTTTATGCTTCAGAATACGCGCCGGAGATACAGGATGTTCGAATACAGGGAGACCAATCAATGCACTAGCATCATCTAGGGTGATGGTCATCTCCCACAAATTGCAAATGAAACGTGCAATCGCCGGCTGCCATCTCTCTATGAATGCCCCCACACAAAAAAAAAAACATTAATATTCTTTTACGAACAACATACAAGGGGGACAGTTCAAACTTACCCATTAAGGGTAAAATAAATAGTTTTTAGCAATTTTCAACTCAATAAAAAAGATTATGTCAAAATTTACACTGTAAGGAGGATACTGCAAACTCTTGGTTTTTTGCTAATTATAAATATGTGAATTTTTGTAAATTAATCTTAGTTAAAGAGATTTCTTGCAATTTATTGTTTTATTAAAATTAATTATGTAAAAATTGTCAAAGTAAGAACATTAAAAGATTAATTAAAAATAATTTGTATTAATACATACCATCAACTTACGTCCTTTAAAGTTTAAACTACATAAATCTTAAATCACCCCATGACTTATATTTTCTTTAATTATGCCATTTCTTTTTATTTATTTTTCAAGTTAAGCTATCTCCCTCTTTATTTAAAAAAAAATGATCCGATGCAAAATGTTTTCTCAAATAATTTTTATTTAGTTTGTTCTAATTGTAGAAATGATTTTGATGCTATTAACTTGTAGAAGAGAGCCATATATACCAATCGACCAAATAGTAAACTTTACTTCCACCATTCAACCAAACCAAAATTTTCTCAAAATTCCAATAATTTCAAAATTTTACAATATTATATATATATATACCCTCTCTCTCTCCGACACAAACCACGCAAAAAAGATGTCTTTCCAAGAACAAGGCCATGCATTACCCCAATCCCATGACACGACACCCATTCTTAATTCAAGCCTATGCCCTTACACCCCGTTGCTCGAATCCGCCGACGCCAACGCCGCCGCTGATGCCCCACTCCGGCAGCGTCGCCGGCGGAGGACCTCCTCCGTGGTCCTCCTCCTGCTGACGGGGCTATTGGGTGGCGCCATATTTGTGGCGGTGGTGTTGCTAAAAAATGGGAATAATGAGCCGAACGAAGAAATGGCGGTGCCATTGGTGAATGCGGTCCCGGTGGGTCGTGGCGTGGCGGAAGGAGTCTCGTCGAAATCGTTCCGCCCGTTGCTCAGAGCGCCTGTTTTTGCATGGACCGCCAAAATGCTGGCTTGGCACCGAACCGCTTTTCATTTCCAGCCAAGAAAAAATTGGATGAATGGTCAGTTCTATTTGCTATATTTGATTAATGAAGGGATATAATTAATTTTCCCTATTTGTTATATTTTTTCCTAATAATGTGTCCTTTTCTTTGTTTGGTGATGTGGTCGGGTTTCTCCTCCGGCGCTGTTTGAATCGGAAAATGGGTTTTGGATTCAGATCCTAATGGTGAGTCTAATGTTTATGTTCCGTTTAATTATTTATTTATTTTAAAATGTTTATTTAATTTAATATTAGTTGAATATTTGCAGTATTAGGCAAATTAATTCTCCTTTTATTATGCTTCATTATCTCGGTTTATACTATTGTACATCGGGTAAAATACACCCGGTAAATATTTATCATTCATAAGCACACAAATACATACACATTCATATTGATATGTGTAGATCAACGATAAAAATCCTCCTGGTGTAACTTTCACCGAGTGTAGCATAAAAAAGACCTGTTTTCTCTTATTGATTTTCTTTCCTTTTTATTTTTTATTTTTATCTGCCTCCCTCTTTTCTTGGTGGAGAGGTGAAATGGATTTGAATTTAGACAAATGAGTTTTTTGCAATTGAATCAATGACAGCTACTAATTTGTTGTCCTATTGAGTTAAATTTGGAAATGCAGCTAATTGCATCGTTTTTACTGTATTCTTGTCATAGTATATCTGGAAAAATCAATACTCCTTCGTTTTAAATTAGGGCTAAATTATACGCCCTTTTAAGAAATTTTCTATTTCTATTAATATTATTTTCCTAAATTCCTTTATTAGTCACATGTACTGACTAGTTTAATATTGTTCAAATACCTTAAACATCGCTTATTTTGAAATAAATGACATACTATATATCAATTCTCTTCTAAAAAAAATAGAAAATAAAATACTATCAATTTTCTTTCGGTTTTAAATTACTTATCTTTAGAGTTTCTATACAAATATTTGTTGAATGACCATCTCAACCAAAAGTTTAAGCTATTAGTGAAATGTATCATTTAATATTAATATCTCCAATAATATTACCCCATCCATTTAAGAATGTGTTGTTTTTCATACATATTAGAAAGTCATCAAATATAGTTAAATCTTGGAAAACGACATATAACGAGTGTGAAAATAA